GAGAAGACAACAAAAACATCTCAAAATCGCTTTTTACCTCACTTGAGTTCGAACACGGAAAATATTGCTAACCTTTATTTACTGCTTTTCGCATGCACTCGCCCGCGTTATGCTGGATCACATTGTCTCAAAATCTTTTTCGTATCTTTTAGCAAATAAATATTTAAATTGTGGAAAGAGGGCGTAATTTCCTTCTCTTGCTTATCGCCGATTGCCGCAATGGCTTGGCCACGACCGCTGACCAGACTGACGCTGTAGATTGGCTCTTTTCAAAGCAAATATATTAAAATGAACAATCAGGAAAGTAGTTTTAAGGGCACATATTTGCGAAAAGTGAGAATAAAGAAACGAAGCGAAAGTCACATATATGTGGCGTTCGCTTCGTTTTTTTAAAAAACGTTTTTTATACTAAACATTTTCACCCACTCTTTTACGTTCCTTCAGTATGTTCCTCCTTTCTTTCCAGCATTCGACATTACTTAACATCACCTCCTAGTTCATTTTTTTTTACTTTTTCTAGCTTTGCCCTACACATCCACCATATATGCCTTTACGCGCCCTTTATACATTATAATATATTTATTCTTTGTCGTCTCGGTATGCATTTTTTTTATTGTGAACGGTGCCAGCTGCATCGTAGTGGCCTTCCTTCTAAAGCTGGTTTTTGTAGTTTTCTTTTTGCTACCAAATACTTTCGCTGAGTACCACACGGGAGCAGGATTTATGGCCCGCAATACGTCTGATCGTTGTTCCCGAGATTCCTGTCGCATCGTAAGAAAAGGGAGCTCTAAAATATTTGTTGCAGATCTGACTGAAGTTGAGTCCGTTAGGTGGCATCCTTTTAAGAAAGTTATTTCTTTTTGATTCTCCTCTTACTTACTTGCTTTTATTCTATGTTCGAAGAACAACGGTTACTCTTGGTACACAGTTAAAGGTGCGGATGGTCAAAATTCGTTGTGTTCTTTCGTTAGTGCGCCAAGTCGTAAGTTTTATATACGCTTCCTGAATTGCAGCCGCACGTTGACCTTCATCTGTCTCGCAAATAGAGTATGTTCTTTGCCCTCTTTTCACTAATTGGCATTCATAATGAAAAACGGGGCTGACTTCCCTGTGGGAGCATTGGTACAACACGAAAGTGCAACGTCTCTTCACAGAGGTAGTTGATGGTTTATTGTGCATTGTTTCAGCAACAGCAAAAAAATAGCAACGTCATGTTAGAAACAGCAAGCAGCTAGAAACTTGCAGCGCGCACCTCAAGCAGAAAGCACGCATGAAATCAGCATACACAGGATGAGCGGCGACTAACAACTGTCACAGCTCGACACCTAAAGCGACACCTGTTCAAACAGAAATAAAGACGCACGAAACGAGTACACAAGTAAACACAAGACAAGCGCAAACAAGAGTCTCGATTCTTCCTGCGTCGTGTCAGCAGTGCGCTCCTTTCGTAAACGCGGCCATGGCAGCGTGCGAACTGACCTTCGTCCTCTCCCGAAACACGAGTCTGATAAAGGCGTGCACAGAGAGACCATGTTCGATGGAGGCAGCGCTTCGTGGAGGCGACCATCTTTAGAGCACGCTCAACGTGAGCCCATCGCACCATCTCTCCAGTGGTAACAAAAATGCGCGGAAGTTTCAACACTCTGAGGACTCCCGAGTGGTGTATGGTGTACATGAATGGCTTGCCCTTAGCCTTCTGTTTTTTTTAAAGACGATAGTCTTTCTTGTAAACCTTCGATGCAAAAATTTTGGTCTGTCTGTGTGTGTATGTATGTATGTATGTATGTATGTATGTATGTATGTATGTATGTATGTATGTATGTACATTTGTCTCTTTATCCACTCTTAACGGCATCGGGTGCTTGAAACGGCTGACCCCATCCGCAGCGCCCACCAATCTTGCTCAAGATTGAGCATTTATGTTTGTGCAATTGTCAATTAAAAAAAGCAACTATTGTGCATGTCCGGGGCACCATAACAACACGTATATAGTCTGTATGTGCGTCTTTTACCAGAAAAGGCATACACAAGTTTCGATTGAAAACTGTGTAGTCAAATTATTATGTGTACCTCCCCTACGTAATGCCTCACGGCGATGTAGGTGAAATGGAAATAAATAAATAAAAGTAATTTTTAGGACCGTAGCGCTTATCAGGTGGCGCTACCATGTAACGCTTGCACGATAAGGGAAGTGTTTCCAACGCTTTTCTAAGATGACACGGTGGTGGCACCTACCGTCACCTTGCGTTCTACATCTTATTTGGGCGTGCACACCCGTCTGAGAGCCATGCGCTTTGTTTCTTTAAGAAAACTGCCAGATGGCGCTCATGTCTCACGTGTGACGTGACTTGATGCGCTCGTTCGCCTCTGCTGCACGCTCGAGGCACTCTAACGCAGCGCCTCCAGAATACCACTCGCCGATTTTCTTGCGCAGACATCAAATAAATGTCTAGTGCACTCTCTCCACGCGCAAGACTATCTATCGTCTTTCGACGACATTTGCAGAAACATGCAGATACGGGGCCAATTGTTTTCTTTGCAGTGTCTTAGCAGACCAACGTCACTTTCGTGGCGGACCAACGTCACTTTCGTAGCTATTGCGGCTCCGTGACTTTCGTCAGTGGAGCCGCAATAGATCCCGGCATAGAACACTTTTGTGTTAAAAATTACTGCTTAGCAATCTGGCCTGCAATATCTAAAGTGCTTCTGCTGCACTTTGTATACCTGTCGGTATAAAGCAATAGGTCGCTTCCGGTGTCGTCGTAAGACCAGCGGTGCAGTAAGATGAGGTTCACGTAATTTCGAACACCAAGCGTTGTCATTTAAAATATGCATAGGTATAGGAAGGTAAGCTACATTTCAATTGGCTGCACCAATACATCATAAAAGTTTCTACTGCCATTTTTTTTCTTTTGACAAAAAGGTATGTATTACTTGCTGAATAAAACAAGATAATGTGTCACTAAGTAATGCACTTGCCTTCCAGCGTTCATATTTCGCGTAGTTCCGGCATAATTTTGACTGCAACGCTTACGTTAGAGGTAACAAGGCCTTTAGCGGCAAGGTTTTCATAGTCGTGGTACGTTTCTCATAAGCCATTGCTCATAGCAGTAGTGAAACTTAAAAATAACTTCTGGTGAGCGAGTGAGTACTCTAAATACATTCCCATTCATTGGATCTTTGACTCTCATGCCACAAGCGAAGTAGTAATACTACCCATGTCAAAACTATGCAGTGAGGCCAGTTCGTAGGCATGGTTCTTTTTATTTTGTTTTTTAGAGTGTAAATGTATTTCCCTTCAAGCCTGCCAGCTATATATGGCTACATATCATACTAATTGCTATTCTGGGTATCCAGTTCACTACCTCATCGCCTCTCATTAAGATTTCCGAGACCACTCGTTCTCCCACCACCCATCCTCATTTGAAAGACAACGCAAGGGATCCGAGAGACGTACGCCACTATAATGAACTCATATGGGTGATTTTTGTTGAGAGTGGTAAACGAATAATCGCGTTTGATTTTTGCGAACAGAGGGGGCACGGCTCCATAGCTTTTCGTCTAGAAGCATTCGGGGCTGTTCAAGTTGAAGAATCCGAAAACAGTCGCTGTGTTTCTGCTTCGAAGTGGACTCCTCGAATTAACTACGTGCGTTTCAACTCGCACCGAAAGACATATTCATCCGCGATGTACTGTTTTTGGAGTTCCAGTTGCACAATCACAATCACCGGGCATTCCGGACGTCGTTGAGTTCATTGGCGAGCTTGTTGGTTCGTTCGAGAGGCTTCTGACGAGCTATTCGTCAAGAGAGGTGATACTGCATCGTGTACGGCGCAACTCACTTTCCGTAGTCATCGTAATTACGTTCAAGCTGACTGCAAGTCACCCTCTACAGCATCACTTTTGTACTTTCGATATATTGGCCTAGACTGCTAGTTGTGTAGTTGCAAGCCGAGCAGCTTCGATCACGCTCATATGAAGTAGTTGTCAAGTGGACTGTCTGATTACAGCCCCAGTGCCGGCTCGGGAGCTTTCTGGGTCGGAAGTCTCTTTGCGAGTGCGTGATATAGCGTTTGTTGCGTGCGTGCGGCATCGCCTACGCGAGGCATAATCTGATCGCCGACGTCGAATACGATTAGTCTTGAGTGATGGTGGTCCGATCGACGCTTCTAATTCGGCTTCACGTGCGTGCCTAGCGTGCGCAAGAAACCTATACTTCAATTCGCGGCATGCCTGAATGCAGCAAATGCATCTCTTTATGGGGGCCTGTATTAGGTCTCACTAGACAAAGGAGCGGAAATTAAAGTGGGCTAGTTGAAATATGTCGTGCGTTGTCGGATAAATCAAATAACGGAGTTGTTCTATTGTAGAGTCCATGCGTACGAAAGTAAGTGATTTAACACGTTTTGTATGTATTTTATTTAGCCTTCAAGTATTTAATTACTTATTCAATCATGATAGTGTACATCGTAATTCCGTGTTAAACCACATAAGTTTCACGTGTGTTCTAATAATGTTTCAGGCACGTAAGCTATTTTACGCCTTGAGGCAGCCTCTTGCTGAAGGCACGTAGACGTGGTCCATTGCGCAGAAGCTGACGTTTAAGAGTTCTCGTAATATTGTCTGTTGCTATTATCAAAAATACATAATGTTGTATTGCTATACTATCTTGTTGGCCATGAAATCCAAGAAGCTAGCAAGTACGTAGGACACAGACGGGTGCAAACTTTGTTTAGGTCAATGGTTCCGATGCGGTTCCGTCTTCTTGACTAATGTCTTATTTTAACAGTTAAAGCGTAACGCCGCGGCGCTATACATCTGTCTTCTAAGAAATAACAAATACGCCTTTTTCATAGCGATTGCCTCTAAATCAATTGGGGGTCGCTCTCTAGGTATTGACAACAGCTGTGTAATGACGTTATATCCAAGATGATGTGCTCGATTCCACAGATATTGTCTGGAACGACGTTTACCATTTCTGTTCATTTTGTCTTTCGCAGGCGTTCCAGTGGAAGTTGGCGTCACTATGCAGATTATCAGCATAAGTACAGTCTCTGAAGTACAAATGGTGAGTAGACTCAATTCATAAAGTATGCCAATTCGGGCCGAATATTATGTGTATTTGGACGAAAAAGCAGCACATTTTAAGTTTCAAGAGGAGACGACTGATTCGAACACTCATTAAAACACATGCCATGGAATTCCCTGGTCACTCTGACCAACGCCTTTGCTGGCGAGCGAGTTACTACCACTGCAGCTTGGTACAGTCGACGCGCACATATTGTGTGCTAAAGTATTGTCCTTTCACTTAACGGGTTTTAAATTTCAAGCATTTATTTGCTTACTCGTGCTACAAAAACAGTATCCGACTCGACATGGCCTCGAGTTTAAGTGGTCGCTGTCTTTAAAAACTGGACAACTCGTCCACTCTTTTGCCTTTATAAGAGCAAGCGACGGGTGCCTACCAACTGCTGCCATTTCTGGTAGTAAGCGAGTAAATACAGTACTGTAGTTTGGTTAGAAATTGACATTGGTGTTATCGCCGCTTGTCACGAACTGCGGCTATGAAAAGGTTTAGGAAGACACCACTTTGAAAACCCCCTGATTAGGTTGCGTGTATCGAGCCGTCGCTACAGCTTTCAACTGCCCAGCGTTCAAAATATTACCATAACTTTGAACAGTTACGGCTTAAATTTGCAAAAAAAAAAAATTTAATTATTGGGCATGAGTATAGCTATAGAAAAACCGGTGATGCTGCTCTTGTATTAGCCTATAGCATGTTATAGCCGTAATCCGCAAGGTACTTCGCTCTTGCTTACGTAGCGTGGATCATGTGTGGGAAAACAATAACGTAGCATGTACAGCAGATCTTACGCTGTATATATATATATATATATATATATATATATATATATATATATATATATATATATATATATATATATATATATATATATATATATATATACATATATATTTATATATATATATATATATATATATATATATATATATATATATATATATACTGCGTAACACACACACACACACACATATATATATATATATATATATATATATATATATATATGAGATATAACAGACAGTAATGCCAAGGAATGTACAGGGGAAGTTATTAAAACCAATGGAATGTAAATAAGAAGAAAGAAAAGTGGATGAAAAAATTACCAACTGTGAGCAGGAATCGAACCTACGACCTTCGAATTACGCGTTCGATGCTCGCGAATTACGCGTTCGATGCGAGCATCGAACGCGTAATTCGAAGGTCGTAGGTTCGATTCCTGCTCACAGTTGGTAATTTTTTCATCCACTTTTCTTTCTTCTTATTTACATTCCATTGGTTTTAATAACTTCCCCTGTACATTCCTTGGCATTACTGTCTGTTATATCTCATTAATATTGTGTTAAAACACGGAAAAACGAGCCCTTAGGTATACACTTCTTTCCCTTATATATATATATATATATATATATATATATATATATATATATATATATATATATATATATATATATATATATATATATATATATATATATATATGACATTGCATTGCTGAGTAACTCGGGGGACGATTTGCAACTCATGATTACGGAGTTAGACAAGGAGAGCAGAAAGGTGGGTCTTAAAATTAATCTGCAGAAAACGAAAGTAATGTACAACAACCTCGGCAAGGAGCAGCGCTTCGAGATAGGTAATAGTGCACTTGAAGTTGTAAAAGACTATGTCTACTTAGGGCAGGTAATAACCGCAGAGCCGAACCACGAGATTGAAGTAACTAGAAGAATAAGAATGGGTTGGAGCACATTCGGCAAGCACTCTCAAATTATGACAGGTAGATTGCCACTATCCCTCAAGAGGAAGGTATATAACAGCTGTATCTTGCCGGTACTTAGCTACGGAGCAGAAACCTGGAGACTTACAAAGAGGGTTCAGCTTAAGTTGAGGATGACGCAGCGAGAAATGGAAAGAAAAATGGTAGGTGTAACCTTAAGAGACAAGAAGAGAGCAGAGTGGATTAGGGAACAAACGGGGGTTAAGGATATCATAGCTGAAATCAAGAAGAAGAAATGGACATGGGCAGGGCATGTAGCGCGTAGACAGGATAACCGCTGGTCATTAAGGGTAACTGACTGGATTCCCAGAGAAGGGAAGCGGGTTAGGGGGAGACAGAAGGTTAGGTGGGCAGATGAGATTAAGAAGTTTGCCGGTATAAATTGAAAGCAGCAAGCACAGGACCGGGTTAACTGGTGAAACATGGGAGAGGCCTTTGTCCTGCAGTGGACGTAGTGAGGCTGATGATATATATATATATATATATATATATATATATATATATATATATATATATATATATATATATATATATATATATATATATATATATAGTACCGAGTCAATCGCTTTGCGCGTCTGTAGCACTCTGAGCGCCACACTACACGACTCCTCTAAAATAATATCACCAGATGCCTAAGCTCGCACGTGACTCTTGAGTCTTCCGAGAATTTTAAAATAGTTTGCAAAAACTTAATGCATATAACAGATGATTTGTGTCGTCACATATAGTTTCTCCAATTGTTAGTGCCCTCATTGAGGGATATAAAAAGAAAATTCGTACTAGTGTTTTCACTTTTCTCCAAAAGAAAAACAAAGCAAAGAAAAACAAATGCTTATGCCAACATCACATGTCACTTCGAATTTACATGTCAGTAATACAGTTGAATTTTTTGTTAAACATTACTATCTTTTTTTTTATTTTCCTTCTTTCTTTATTTTTTTAGGCAAGTTGCGTTCATTTTGTTTTGTTTCTGCGTCAGCTAACATTCTATTCACTCAAGTTTCACCTGGGAATAACGCGATCGAGCACATCTGCAAGCAGACATGTTTTCGCTTACGTTTTAACATTTGCGTTCACTTCTGCCGCGCCTATAGGGGGGGGGGAGGAATGGTGCAAAAGCACGCGTAAACAGAAACGACAATACCCGTTCAAGGAACGCACTAAGCTGCCTGCACACCGGGTGTTTGTATTTAAATTGGTTCTGCAATCCAAAGAACTAAATTCGGGAGAGAGACATAAAAGACCGTCTCGCTTTTGTAGCGAGCTCTTTCCTGGAATCGGATTACTTGCCGCTACAAAATGTATTTTTCTCGAAAAACAAAAAACAAAAGACAACGCGATGCTGGCAAAGCCCCGGTGTACGCAAAGAGGAGCTTTTCTAATGCTTCTACTCAATAATGTAGAAGTGGCGTCACTAGGCGTCGGTGCGTTTGCGGACTCTGAAGTGCTGAATACAGTAACATGCTGCACAATGTCATAGCGCATTAGCTTTCGTAGCAGGTTTAGTTCTTTCACCATTTTTCAGCGATGTTGTAATTGCATCAAAAATATGTAGCGGGCTTGTTCGAGCAGCCACACGATTAAAGTTGACAGAAGCGAGTGATTCTTGAACGTAGAGATCATCCTTTTTTCTCTTCCGTATTGATCTTTAAAATTGGTATTTTTATTTTTGGTCTGGCTGCTTTTCACCAATTATGCGTACTTGTTTAAAACAACGTTAACAGAACGTTGAACCTCCTTTATTATTACCCTTGTGATCCATACGGTATCTTTCTTATTTTACTGTAACATCTCTGATATGTTATCAGCATGATTATAAAGCATTCGGCAGAGAACATGTATTGAGTGAATTGTAATCCTTGTTGCGCTCTGTGTCTTATTTTGCATAATGAGGCTAAGCTTCTCGGCCTGTCACGCAATATCAAAAACATCTCATTAGAGAGACTCGTACGGGGATTATTCCTTCAAGCGCACGTTTAGCCTCTTCGAACTAATGGACTACGTTGGCGTTTTTGTGTGAGATGCTACTTGAGAAGCGAATTACAAGCAAAAAAATAAAGTTAGAAGTTATCCGGGGCTATATATAGAGCATCTTGAGAATATATTTCGCGAATAGTTTGGAGTTATTTCCGAGTATACCATGCGTTCTTTGCCTTTCAAATTTTCGTCAAAAATAGTTATGTTAAGGCTCTTGTGGTTCGAATCACTTACGCTGAATTCTCAATTTCTTCAATTTATTTCGAAATATTTGCCGCCTCTATAAGCTTTGAGCAGCATTTGTTGCCAAATATTGATGTTGACGTAATAGGCGTCATAATATCGACCTTATGTCTTCACGATTATGTTTCTTAAATACTATGCAGTTGTTAAAAACTTGAATACCAAGACTTGCATCGTTTCCGAAACGTAATTGAGACTAGTCTTCGGTAGGCTTATTACTAGATCGTGGCCTTAGCACGAGATTTCAAAAGTATGTATACACACAAAGTCTACCAGTTAGCTCTTCAAAAAAAAAAAAAAAGACAGTGAGGTTAAAAGGTCGGAGCATTGAAGCAGACTCTACTCTTTCCCGATTGATTGTATAAAAAGGAAACACGCCTTACCGCTATTTTCATTCTGTGAAAGTAAATTCACTGAAAAGCAGCTATCGCAACATTTTGAATAAGTAACCGACGAAGCGTGGTGTGCGTGTTATTCTGAGCAGAAGCTCCGCTTTATAATTTCAGAGCACGGCTTCCGGTATCCTGACGCTATACCTTTTTAAATTAAAACCACTCTTCTTATTTTTATTGTGCGACATTTCTTTGAAAAGAAACATGCATGTGATGCAATGAAAACTTCTGGAGTAAAAAAAAAAGAGCATCAAGGGCTTGTAAGGAATCGTATTTACCCTGTGCTGAAAGAACGCAAGCGCGCACGCAACAGCAACCCTCACAAAGCCACATCAAATATGATACTTGAAGCCTTGCGTGGTCGATCATCGGGGTCGCAAATACATCCTCGATTTGTTTATCTTGAAAGCATCGCATCTTTCTTTGCTTGTTTCTCTCTCTCGCGTTTTTTTCTTTTGAGGAAGCTGCTTAAGCCTTTCAAAGAAATCACGAAGTATGAGATTGAACTCTTGGGAATCCTGTCAACCTTTGGCGCCGTGGAGAAGCAATGAGTGATACTTCTGTTGCATTTATCTTATGCCTCCCTTCTGAAACTT